GGACCGGCCGTAGAATTGGAGACCTCTATAGATTGAATTCGACTAAAGGATTTATGAATTATATGATTGCGGGATATAGAATCTTTTTCTTTCTTTTTTAAAGTTTCGCTTGATTTATATATTTCTCTCAATCTAAATAATAGAATTGGATTTACTTTTGAGAGTATTTTATAAAATAATGTAATTTACGGATTAATCGAGTATTTCTTCTTTTTAATATTTGCCAATTTGGTGATTCCAATCTTTTAGCATTATAACTTGTTTTATTAGGCCTATCATTTATTTCTGGAGTCACTTTTTTTTTATTTTTTGTAATTCTTTTTATTTGATTTCTGATTGTGCTTGTTCTATCAGTCAGTTCTTTCATTTTTTTTTCTGTCAGTAAAAAATTTGTCCAATATGTAGATTGAATTCGACTAAAGGATTTATGAATTATATGATTGCGGGTTATAGAATCTTTTTCTTTTTTTTTTTAAGTTTCGCTTGATTTATATATTTCTCTCAATCTAAATAATAGAATTGGATTTATTTTTGAGAGTTCTTTTTTTATTTTTTTTAAAATGGAATGCCCTTGATAATCCATTTTTTTGTTTTTTTTTTTTGAGATATTTAGAAATTTTGTTCTTTCTTTTAAAACTTTTAGAAATATAAAATACTTTTTTTTTAATTTTCAAATTTATTTTTTCTTTTTGAGTTTCTTAAAAATGGGTTCAAAAAAGGAAGGCCGTTTTTGGGGAGAACCAAAAGGAAGCTCAGCTTCCATTCCCCAAACCGTTAAAAAAATGTGGTGAAAAAAGCTTGGTTAGAGACACAATTCACAATGGATCACATGGCTGTGTCTAGAATGTGTTCCGTTTGGAATACTCCTTACCCCACAACTTGGACATAAGCAATGAATTGAATGATTTGAAAATCTCATGCTTGTTTGGTCATGTACTAAATGATGTTTAGGTTAGGGATAAACTAGAGACCTCTAACTTCATGGATAAACAAATCCGGCAAACATAAACAAGCATTTTGGTAAGCAATTTATGAACTCACACATTCAAGTGACATGGAAAGCACTAATTCATGGCATCTAAAATTAGTCCCTTTGGAACTGGCATTGGCAATCAGTGCATTACTCTTCTGTCAAAGTAACAACCACACATAGGTCCAACGGAGGTAGAATGACATAGCATCTGTTAATGTCCCAACATTGCATCTTCAATGTCCAGATTCTAGACTGAGCTGTGCAATAATGTCCTGATAGTTGAGTTTAAAAAGATTGGCAGAAATTTTGCTGATTGGATGTGTACCCATTAAATTTACACATGTACCTATGCATTATAAAATGAAATGGTAGATTGCAAATCAGTCAAATTATAAACTGGTGAAAAGAAAACACATTTCTGTAATTTCAGTTTAACAAATTCCTAGAAACACAGAATAAACATTAACATTCAATTTTCAGCAAGTTCAGAAAGGCAAAACTGATCACAGTACCTTTGAGTCTTTAACTGTTGCATCACTCTTCTGTACACAATTTGCAGATTCTATAAATCATCAGAGTCACCGAATGGGCGCTTAACATAGTAAAAGGAAGGAGGACCCCTATGTCGATGGAGATGCGGCTTGAGGATGGCCACATAGTTCACGTTTTACATATATTTTTGTGGATTAGTCTATAAGCTCAATCATCAGAGATTAGATGTCTTACAATGTTCTGAAATTCTACCTGTCAAAAGCTGTGCCAAAATTTCAGATTACCACCAAATTGAAATGCTATGAAAAGTGTTTTTGAGTTTTTCCACAATTGACAGATTCCATTCAAATGAGAAGTGAGATCAATTAAGATGTCACATTAGCAAAAATGTGGAATTGCCTATCAGATAGATGATTATCATGCCTATTCTCTACTTTTAAGAGTTAGAAAAAACAAATAAAAAAAAATTTGATTCACATCCACATACCACATTAATAGTCCTGAAATCCCTAGTTTTACAGGTGTTCCCTTTGGAAAGTTACTTCAATATTATTCAATGGGGGAAAAACTACATTCAATGGAAAATTGCTATTAGTGAAACAGAAGAGGCTCCAAATCAGTGGAATGACAATTGTCCATTCCTTCTTTGAAATCCAGCACACCATCCTACATTTCACTTATAAGTCATCTAAGGATGCAACATTTTCTCTCACAAATAATATTTTTAAAAAAAGTACAGAACGGTAACTAATAAATGAGTATGCAATATTGCAAATTCACAGACACAGACTCAAGAATGCCATGAAATTAGTATAACAAGTAAAATTTTATAGTTTAAGGGAGAAATGGTGTACATTCACAGGTCAGAGGAGTTTTTAGCCATTGATGCTGCCCATCTATTACACTCAACTGACTCTACATCCTGACCCGAGAGCAATATGGGCTTGCACCTATCACATTGGAAAAATAGAGTCAAAAAATCAGTTTATTGACACTGTAAAAATTGAAACAATTGTCTCTATCTCAAATATCAGAGTTTTCAGCTTTGAGACTACATATTAGACAACCAGTTGTCCAAAAGCTTAAGCTATTGGGGAATGGGTTGAATATTGTACATCAAACTCTCTGCACTTGAGCTCCGTTTATTTCAATCAGAAATAAAGCCTTTTTTTTAATATTAGAAAAAAAAAAAAAAAAAAAAAAAAAAAACTGTCAAATAATGTGTGTATACCTATAATGAGATGATTGTGCCTCAATAAATTATTCAGACAGTTTGCAATGATAAATAGTGCATAATGAACCACATCAAGGAATTCCAAAACTAACATGTAAGCAACATACCAATTGTTTTCTACAAATCATAAACTTTCTCCTCTGTGAAGGCAAAATTATTAGAACCATGCCTAAAACCATGTTTCCTCCCAAACCAACTATAGCCTTAATGTGATAACAAAATTAATAAATGAATCACCACATGTACATTCTTAAGCAAAATTCACATAGACTTGCCCTCAAAATTCAACTTGTGAAGTTGTGACCTCTATCCATCCAACTATAGCCAACATCTTTCTATTGTTGGAATGCTACTAACTTCCCCCACAACTTGGACATCAGGCAATGGCTTGAATGGTTAAAAAATCTCATGCAAATTTGATCACAGAACCAACTAATGCTTAGATTATGGACAAACTTCAGACTTCTTATGTCAAGTATAAAGAAATCTAGCAAACATAAATTGTACTAACCAAATTGCAATTTAATATTACTGCAAACAGCAGCACTTCAGAACATTTCATCTGTCTCTGGGCATCAATGTACTACTGACTGTTTGGATTGAATACCAAATAGTAAGGACTTATCATGATGAATACAACTCCTATATTCATTGAGCAGCCCAAAATGTGGCTTTGTTACATATTTAATTGTTGAGAACCGAGATAAAACAAACACAATGGCAAAAGTGTTAGGTGTGTTATGACACCCACCAAAGATAGGATTCCACAGTATTGTATTTTTTTTATTTTTGGCACAAGAAAAGAACATCATTCATTTACATACAAAAAATAACATAGTTCTAGGAAACAACAACCAACACAACATGAATAAGTGTTACAAACCTCAAGCAAAAACAAAAAACACCACCAGAGGTAACATAATTGACGCGAAGCTAACAGTAGATTGACTGGAGGCTGCCAAGTAGGATCGTTCAGTATCAGAAGGAAAGTAGGCCTCTCCATGAGAAGAAGAGATGCAAGAAAATGCTGCAAACCGGGCTAAGGAAAATGCTGCTGTGAGCAAACTCCGTGGCTGTAAAGATATTTGGCATGAATGAAAAGATTGTGCGAGATAACAAAAATCCAAAAACCATGTAGCTGCCACCACCTGGATATCTTTACTGCCCTCCATCTACTAAATAGAGTCTCAGAGTTAGTAACAATATTAATATGCAAAAAATTGTCCTTATGAACCCATTTAGGATCAGAAACAGATGCAGCTAGTGGAGCACAAGGCCTGTACACAGTAAGATCATGAAATTTGGATTTCAAATTCGTTCAGATCTCCAAAAGTTAGGCGAACAATGCCATTAAAATAAAAATATCTAGATATGTAGACTATTTGAACACTGGTTTTCTCATGAAGTCTATAGAATGCTGAACCAAGTGATCAAGTCATCATCTTCCTGCAAAACTACAACACAGATTTTGCATATCAATTGAGCCATGAGATTGCAATAGTGGCAACTCTAAGAACATCATAAGATTAGAGAGCATATCTTGAGACATACATATATGCATGTGTGTGTTCTCTATTATTTGACATGAAATTTGAAAGGTAGTTATACTTCTTTTGCAAAATAAAAACATAGATAAAGTGTTGCTCAATTTGTTCTATTTCAGGAAGCAAAGGAATGCACTGGGCTAAAAAGTTAGAACTTTCGAACCTAGTAACCCTAATAATCTGAAATTTTTGTTTTGACATGGTTTCAGATCATTGAAGTCATAAATATCACCATTTTTTTTTTTTTACTTCATTCTTAAACTATCATTTTCGTCTATTTAGTTCCTAAATTTTTGAACTTATGTTTATGTAGTTCAATTGGAGACAATTATACAAATTAATAATTGTTAAAACTTAATTTGATTAAAAAAAGTTATTTGAGAATTTGAACATCTTAAATCACACAAAAAACACTCATTTTTCTTACTATTTTGAATAAATTACAAGGCACGACCAACTTAATAGGTGTTTGAGTGTATGATAATTTGTTCAAATTATAAAATTACCTTTTTTTTTCCCCTCAATTTAGGTTTTAATGGTTACTAATTTGTACAATTGTCCCTAATTGGACCACATGAATAAAAATAATTTTTTTAAGGAATAGACGAAATTGATAGTTTAGAGGAAATAAATAAAATGTTGATAGTTTAGGGAATACGAGTGAAATTAACCCTTTAAAAAACAAAGGAAAGAGAGGGGAAAGAAACAGAGCATGGACCAACCAACCTGATTTAAATGTTGTAAGATCGAAGACAACTCAATGAATTTCAATAGAAGGCACGTGCTTGACTTTGTCGAAGTCCTCTCCTCCTTCTCTAACCCTGTCTCTGAGTGCTTCAGATACCCTTGTGATCTCCAATTCCCGGAGGGTGGTAATGAACCTCAATCCGCCCGGAATCTCCTTCAATTTTTTGCAATTGAAAATATCTAAACGGAAGAGACAGGGCATGGCTCCTTGTTCCACCCTCCACTCCTCCAAGTTTCGAATATTCACGAGTGCTAAAGATTTGAGTTTCGGAAAACCTCCACTATCACAGCCGCCATAGCCCCCTCCTCCTCCACCACCGCTGATGCTGGATGGTCCAGAAGAACAAACCATCTCATTCCCAATGTAGGAATTAAAACCTAAGGAGAGACTCCTTAAGTTGGGCAACTTCTCCAATGTTGGCATTGGGTCCTCATCTAGTTTAGTATCCCACAACCTTAACTTGGTGAGATTTGGAGGGAATTGGTCTGGCAATTTATTAGCCCGATTAAAGGACCCATCTAGAAATAATTTGCGAAGATGGTGGCATCCTAAAAGCTTCCTTAAAAGGCTTTGTTCTTCTTCCGTTTTGAATTCTCCAACAATCGAGAAGGATAAAGATGGTAGAAGAAGGCTGTTTGAATTGTTGAGGAGGATTGGAGATTTAAGGATCACTGCCAAGTCTTTGTGGTCTTCCGAAAGAACTTCAACTTGTCGAAGATTTGTCAGGTTGGGAAAGCATCTGACGTCACAATACTCTGTAACAAAGGCTTTTAGCGTCTCCAATTTGCTCAAACCATCCAATCGCAACTTACTTATACCAGTCAGCTTGATAACATAGGGAAGATATTGTCACGACCCGAACCCGTCCCTATGGGTTAAGGACATGACTGGCCAGTAATCCTGTGATTATCTATGGCCTCAGACCGATACAGACGTCACTTGTCAGAGTAAAGGGGCCAAACGGAAACAAAAATTTAAAAACTTTGTCCATAGAACCGTGCTTATATGCACATCAAACAAACCATGCTCAGATACGTTAATAACCCACGTCAAAAATACAGTTTCACAAAATTCATTACAGACAGGATCATCTAAACTGAGTCAACCCATATCACATCTACATACCGATATACACAAGATCCTTGCAAACAAGACAAAATGGAAATACATAATAGAATGGCAAGGTTGAGTCTCGTGCGTGAGACACAAGGCTGACTCTCCAAACTCATGTTATTCCTGACAGACTTCACTGGGGTTGGGTTTGGACTTCTCTTGGCTCACCTACAAAGACATGAATGAGCGTGAGCGATAGCCCAGTGAATAATATCAAATATGACAGTTACATCACAATATGTAGAACAACATGCTCCAAACGGCCTTGGGCCCAATTCATACTTCTAATTAGCAAATATATAAGACTATACGAAATGCAAATCAAGTAACTGTAGTTCCAACATTCTGGCCTTTGGCCCATTTGGGTTTCCATTCATGGCAAAACGGCCCAACCGATATATATAGTCACATAACACAGATTCCCCCGATGGAGCAGACACACATAACAAATATGGCAACAATTCTAGGGGTCTTTTCA